GCTGCATGTTATGTCTCAATACAGGCGCAGAAGCGCTGGTTCAGATTTTATTAGGCTATTTGTTGTTTAAACGTGCGTGTTGCATATTTAATATATATATATATATATGTATATGTAGGCTATATGTATATATACACATATTTGATATTGTCTTAGAGGGGGAAATACCCACCGGCAATTCGCAACTTGCTTAGCTTGGTTATGTTTTTTTTTTTGTTTTTTTTTTAAATCTACATGGAATTTTTTTTTAGTTTTTTTTTTTACATAACTGCTTTTGAAGATGTAAATTCAGTCAATCTATTGGAAGAGATTTGTTCCTTAAATGTAAAATAGAAATGCAAGGTAATTTTATGTTTACGCGGGATTTGAAACAGTGTCATCAAAATAAGTGTACCAAAGTTCTACCACTCGACCACGACTTTTCTCACTGACAAAAGCCCAGATGTTCGGTTGTTCAGCAGTCAGTGTGCGCGGTGCGCACGCGAGAGAAGCGCTCTTCAGTCTTTGCATTCCTCAATAGCGTCATTGGGCAGCACTTTAATTATTTTCGCTGACTGCGAGATAGGCCTATTTTAACTTTTGATTAATAAAATGTTCTCCTATAGCCTAAAAGTTTATATTCTAGTTAAAGCTATATTCCATTTAAAATGTAGGCTACATACGTTTTGCTTTCGCTTAATGTCCCTTTGCGCCACCTGGTGGTCATTTCTCCACCGACTTTGAAATACTGCTGGTTTATTTTTGCCGCGGTAGATTTACCGCGGCACTTGCCGCGGCGGTAAACGACATTCTGGTTGTCCACCTACTGTATATATAAAAAAAGGAGAATCTTATATTTATATTCATTTATGCAGATCCTGTATTGTTGTGAAGCACATAGCCTGCCATCTTGTCCTCTTTATTTACTTCTACTATCTTAGCTTGTACTTCTCTGAAAGCCTATATGCGTACATTTCCAGCATTTGACACATTTAAAATGTACGTTTCTAGAGGTAGTCTCTTTTTGGGACAGTCTGTGGAGGTTTATCTCACATGTTTCTGACTAACTTATTTACATTTTTTGATTTCTGGGTGAAATATGACCTGGATTTGCCCAATTTGCCTTGTTCTACAGATCACTATGCAAAACCAGCTCTATTTACATGTTTATTTTCTACTTTTCTTGTTGGTCAAGGCTCCTCTGGTTCCCTAATGTTCAATGCATCAGAAACGTGACCACTTGCTAGTTTCCTCAGCCTGAACTGTAAACGCGGGCTGCTTTGATCAGTCTCTGGCCACCCACGCCCTTCCTTTAACATGTCTCCCGAACAAATTACAGATGAATAATTAGCTCTTTAAATAAGACCTAAGACTGAAGAGGAGGAAAAAGTTAAAAGAAGTATAAACACAACTCAGCAGTTTCAAGCTATTCGGCAAGTATTTCATTTAGGGTCAAATTGCCTCTGGAAGCATTTCATCTCTTGCAGGACGCACTTTTGAAAAGACGTCAATTTTATGGATGTTTGCACGCTTTTCAGAGCAAGTAAACAAAACTCTTTTTCATGTGTTCTCATGGTTTTAATTGAGAGGGGGTTGGTAGCGAACACATGCTGATTATAGAAAGCAAGCAATAAATATTTTACAGTTCCAAGCAAGCGCTGGATTGAACCCATGGGACATAAATCCTGATGCTCATTTAAAAGTCAGAGCAGAACTCAGTGCTCAGATAGCCAGAGGGAGTCTCGTCTGCTGGGTACATTACACCTGCAGGAGAGATGTCACAGGTCTCTCAATGGCTCGATAACACTCGCATATAGGAGCGTGCGGACCGATACATGGATTTTCACATCTAGAGGAGCAATTGGATTGTCTGTGGACTCTGCTGTTTTCTAGCTCATGCTTGTCTTTCTAGAAAATGTCTACTGCTGCTGACTGGACATGAATATATGCTGGTTTCAGTTTTGTCTTTTGGGCTTTTTGACATTCGTTTATTCAACAGGATGGTCAAGAGAGTGTTTTGAGGGTAGCGTACTGTATATATGCCACAGCTCTGATGACTACAGTATATATAGAGCTACACTGTGAAAACGATTTTTCAAAGCAGATAAAAAAGTAAGTTTTACAAGAAAATACTAAATTTCTCTTTCTGAGATGAAACTGTCATGAGATTTTAATCAGTGTACGGATGTATTTGTTAATCTTATCTAACCATCTTATCATATCCTTCTCCCCATCTGCCCCTAAATTGGGCATAACTTGCAAAACTACTGTAATATAATACTACTTTGTCAATTTATTTTATTTATTTAATAGAATTTATTACAACAAATCTGTAAAAATCTGTTGCGGATGTGTATATTTAAATATGCAACCCAACATTGTGGCAATGGCTCACACCAATGGTGTGAGTTTGGGGGCGGGGCTAACAGTTTCTCCGACCAATGGCTGATTTCTCCTGATTGATGATTCTGGTGGTACAAAAATTATACACTTTACAGTTTTAAATCTAGACATTCAAAACTGAGTTACTAAATGGTACTTACTGTATATTAAAAAAAATAATACTATTGTTTTGGTTTATTATAAAATGTATTATAGTTTCAAATTTCAATCAATTATTCGATTATTGAGAAAACGAAGTTGGCCTAGCATACTTTTAGAAAGAGTACATATTATAGAAACAATATACTTAAAAAATAAATACATATATCTAAGTGCAAACTGAATGTAATGTTATGCATTATATGCATTATATTTAAATTTATATTAAATGCAAATAGTGAAATTTATAATGATGTTTTCGCTAGAACTTGTAGAACTTGAATACATCTTTATATGTAATCTCAAAAATATTTCTATCTTTGAAATAAGTTTAAATTGTTTTGCCGAATGTACTGAACTAAAATATTCCTTAATGTCATTTCTATCGAAAATTTGTGTCATGTATTTCAATGTATTTATAATTACAAACTTGTAATGATGAAGTTGCAATATAGCAATGTTGCAATGAATAACACAGTTAAAAATGCTAAGTACTTACAAATACTGTTAGTCAACACATCGAAATAAGTGTACTTAAAGTGCAACAAAAGATTATTAAAACAAAATTATTTGAAATTTACTTTAAAATAAAACTTTTCATTTGACTACCACATGGTGCGTTTAACACAAAAAGTAAGTGTTAGAAGTTCTAGTTCAACCATCTTAAATCTCAGCATAGTCCAAGAAATTGCATGCATGTATATAGGATTCCTTTGTCCTGAAATAATGTCTGGCACCATATGTTATTCATAATTCGAAGGGATAAAGGGTCTTTCACTCTCAGTGTTATACATCGAAGGGCCTATCTGGACCCAAATGTATATATGTGTGGATATCTACCCGGAAACTGACCCTATATGGACTTTAAGTACACCTACAGTAAGTAGACTTTTATTTCATTAATATTAAAATATCTGCAAGTACAGTTTATTTTTAAAAATACACTAAAGATTTTTTTTCACAAGTGTTAGTCAATAATACACTGTAAAAAAAAGTTAAAAATAAGTTAAAAGAGATTATTATATAACTTTTTTTTTTACAAGTTATTCAAGATTAAACTTTTTGAAGTCAGTTTAAAGCAATTTAAGTTAAAATGACTTAAACATCCAAGTTGATTGCACTTAAATTTAAAGGCAGGAACTTTTTCTAGTCTAGTTGAGGCAAATCGGAATCATTAAAGTCCATATGATACTAATTTCCATTTTTATTTCTATAGTAAACAAACCTAAGTAATGTTAAATATCACGGCCTAATTTGCCATCCTACTTAACAGAATACTAAAATAACAAAATGCACCATCCTGTTTTTCATTAATTTCCTTTCCTAAACACCAGACATTCACATTTCTATCTGTCCTTGGGAAAATAAAGTGTACCTGCCAGCAGACACATAAATAAATGTAAATTAAAACGGTAACCGGAGATGAATAGTGACTGTGTGATTTCAAGTGACATTTATTGCTACTTGGCAGTCGTACCATTAGCAAATTAGGTTCATTCAGGAGCCGAGTCGGACAACTCATCCTGAGACGAAGGGCTTAATAAATATCACTCGGGTGAAGACAGACATCTAGATGAATTAGAAGCAGAGGTAATGAGTTGTGAATGAGATTCTCCCTCTTTCTCTTTCTACACCTGTCTGTTTCTTGCTTCCTCTTATTTCTGGTTATAGTTCGGTTAGTCTTTGCTAGTAAATGATGTAACTAAAAGTGTTATTTTCCATTGACAACCATTCAAAAGTACAGTAGCTGTGCAAATAAGTTTAATATATATATATATATTTCATGTCGGTTATACATCATTATGCAAGCAGATAACTTTCTCCAGGTATTATCGATCTTGGTTTGTACACTTGTGAAGATATTTAATTTGTGTGTCTTGTTAATGTGGCCAAATAAATCTAGGGCAACGGAAAGGCATGGAGAGTTGTGGGCTCAACATTCAAAAGGCGTCCGTCCATAAAGGACCCTCCTGTTGTGACAAATCCCACGTCTTTGCTTTTAGAACAACAACAAAAAAAATGTGTACCTTTCAAATGATTTCTCTCAAAGATTGCTGTTGGGCCTATTAAAAAGCAATGCTACAAATCCATCTCTGTCCCAAGCGCTCTGTATCTTCCTTCCAATTTTAGCTTGACAAATGTTATCCGCATTAGCAGTGGACCCTTAATTGTGTGTGTTCCCCTCTTGCTTTACTTCCTATTTTGGAAAACCAACTTATCATTTCTGGCTCCATCTCACTTTGGTGGCAAATACTGCAGCCACCAGCAGTTTCTGCTGTATACCCCAACACACAAAAACACTGGTAAACTAGGCCAGGAGGAGTTCACTGGGTGCGTATGTGTGTTTTGATGCAGATCACGATGGATATTAACATAAACTTTTACAAATAAAATAAATAATGGGAACATAACATGAGAATATAAAACACACTTATGGATTTATTGCCCTCCAGATGTTATGTTGGCTCAGAAGTACTTACCATACACATACAGTGTAAATTCATCCCTGTTGGTGCCGAGGATGTTGCTGGCCTCACAGCGGTATGTGCCGTTGTCTGTTTTGTTCAGTGTGGTAATGATTAGATCTCTACCCTCCACGATCATTCGTTCAACATCAGGAAGCTCACCTCCATCTTTCGTCCAGAAAACTGGCTCAGGCCTAAAAACAACAGAGTGATTTAGTCTGAGGCTTTAGAAATGTAAAGATTGAGAACTGTGACAGTAACTGGTCACTTGTCCATCTTGAAAATGGCACTGCATCCCAAGTTGGTGTCGGTTGAGCATCTTGTTGCATTTACACCAAGTAACTCCATGCTTTCCATATGGTTTTAATTCGAAATCAGGAGAGAAAATGTGCTATGCTAGTTTATGTAGATTTTTTTTCTCAAAAAAATAATTATTGTTGAGTACATAAAAAAAATCTGCTTTCAAGTTCCTTTCGTTGCACTCAGTCAAGCTATTTTGTAAATATAAATGCCCCCCTGTTGTACTTCCATTGTAAATATATAACATGAAACATTCTGTAATCTTTTTAGGCCATGGGTTTAGTAGGCTAGTGACCGAAAAGATTTTTTTCTCATTTTGTTATCATTTCCGCTCAAGGAACGTTTTACGTTTTTGTCCTCTACCTCAAAAAGGTCACACTAAAAGAGTTACAAGTGTCTGTAGACGATTATACGACTCACTAAATCTCTCCCAAATATCACAACTTGATTTAATATTATTGCTTTTGGTTCTTGGCATGCAAATAAGGGTCGCCTTGAGACATGATGATTCTGCTAGTTTAAAGGATTAGTTCACTTTTGAAAACACTTTTGCTGATAATTTACTCACCTCCATGTCATCCAAGATGTCCATGTCTTTCTTTCCTCAGACGAAAAGAAATTTAGGTTTTTGATGAAAACATTCCAGGATTTTTCTCCATATAATGGACTTCAATGGGAACCGGATGGTTCAAGGTCCAAAAGATAGTGTTAATAACAGTTTCAGATGCAGCTTCAAATGTCTTTAAACGACACCAGACGATGAATGAGGGTCTTATCATGCGAAACGATCGGTTATTTCAAAACTTATTCCAAAAATGTAACTTTTATAAGGACAAATGCTAGCCTTGCTATATTCTCTGAGGCGCGTTTGCAACGTCACGTATTACGTAATTACGTTCAAAAGGTCACGGGCGACGTAGCCGGAAGTACAGAGTCAGAGTGTTTACAAGTTGAACGCATAGGTTGAACGTGAAAACTAACTCAAACGCCGTTTACAAAAAAGGAATTAAAAGGTAAAACAACGATGTCGGACGATTTTGATTCTGTACTTTTGGCTACGTCGCCCGTGACCTTTTGAACGTAATTGCAAACGCGCTTCACAATATATTACAAGGCTAGCATTTGTCCTTAGAAAAGTTACATTTTTGGAATAAGTTTTGAAATAACCGATCGTTTTGCATGATAAGACCCTTATTCATCGTCTGATATCGTTTAAAGACATTTGAAGCTGCATCTGAAACTGTTATTAACTGTCTTTTGGACCTTGAACCATCCGGTTCCCATTGAAGTCCATTATATGGAGAAAAATCCTGTAATGTTTTCATCAAAAACCTAAATTTCTTTTCGACTGAGGAAAGAAAGACATGGACATCTTGGATGACATGGGGGTGAGTAAATTATCAGCAAAAGTTTTTTCAAAAGTGAACTAATCCTTTAACTTCATAAGACAAATCATATTCAAACAAAGTTTACATAGGTGATTAAAAGAAAGCTGTACTTACAGTGGGTTGCCTTTGGATACACACTCCAGTTTGAAGTACTGTCCTTCCTGAGGTACTATTACTGAGTGCACAATCTGAACCTGAGGAGGATCTGGATTGACAAAACAAAGCAAAACAAAAAAACACAAGGCACAACAAAAACACAAAACAAAATACAAGGCACAACAAAAAACGAACAAAAAACAACAACAAATGAAACAAAACAATACAAAAACAAAAAACACGAAACAAACCAAGGCAAAAACAAAACAAGACACAAAACAAAACAAAACAAAAAGACAAAACAAAAACACAAGACACAACAAACACAAAATGAAAAACAAAAAAGACAACAAAAGCACAATAAAAAAACATGATCAAAACAAAACCACAAAATAAAAATAAAAACTTTATTGTAAATATTATGTATATACATTATACAATCAGACATTGTAAAATAGTAGCGCTTTGTCACAACACACCATTTATTTATTTTTTTAAAATAGCTTGTTAATGGAAAAGTTAGCCTATTTTGAAAACATGTTACTTATCTACTGTTACACTACTCCAAAACATTGCTAATTTGCAGTTACTTTACAAATAACACAGGCTCTGCCACTCTTTAAACTGGTGCTGGCAGGCGTCCCGTTTTCAGATGATCTAATAGCAGTTTCGGTTAAACTAAAGTCGGGAGGGAAACTGATCCAAAAATATGACTCACAGTGGACCTCCAGCACTTCTGTGACCTGGTGCGGCATAGAGCCCAGAGATATGTGCTCCACCACGCAGGTGTAGGCGGCTCCGTCGTCCTTCTTGTCCACCTTGAGGTGTACGCTACTCCTGACCGTGAATGACCTCCCAGTGGCGTTTACCTCCTTCTGACCTGCCAAAACAGTCACAAGAAGACCTATCAAGCTAATGTTACATATACAGTACTCTATAGGTACATCATTTAGTATATCATGCTTTATGATTATTAAGTGTTTATCAAGATTGTATATAGACATAGAGTCAGAGGCTTTATATATATATATATATATATATAACCAATATGAACAAATCTTTTCTCGAGTCATTTCGTTCATTCAACGAACGAAATGAACAACATGACTCGAAAAAAGATTTGTTCATTTTGATGAACGAGTTTGAACAGGTGAGTCACGAACGCGCATCACAGAACAGAGCAAGACGAGCATTTGTGCTTATAAAACTTAAACTTTTTTATTTATTTTTGAAATTATATCTTATTCCCTTATTCATCATCTGGGGTCGTTTAAAGCCGCACTAAAATGGTCATTTGGACCTTGAACCGCTTGGTTCCCATTGAAGTCCATTATATGGAGAAAATCCTGGAATGTTTTCATCAAAAACCTTAATTTCTTTTTGACTGAAGACAGAAAGACATGGACATCTTGGATGACATGGGGGTGAGTACATTATCAGAAAAAGTAAAAAAAAAAAAAAAAAAAAAAAAAAAAAAAAAAAAAAAAAGTGAACTACTCCTTTAAGAAAACTTGAATAGGCTACATTAGCTCATCCATGAACATGATTTCTGCCCGAGTCCCGTCGGATTGCTTTCCATCGGCTGTGGAAGTGAAGATGACACCTCGCATTGATTCCACGCTCATTCACGGCGTCATCAAGCTACACCTTTGTTATTGTTTTGAATAAGCCAACTAGCGGCGAAACTTCCATACTGTGCCTTTAATCTTTAAACTTTGTGTCTATACATCAACAGCAATATGACATTCTTCTGTTTGCAGCAAAGTGTTCGTTTGCAATCACACAGAAAAAAGGCAATCCACCAATAGAAAGTACCCGAATAATATACAGCTCAAAACATTGCGCATTTTAGCCTGAAATTTATTTGAAAGCCTGTGGAAATGTGAAGAAGAAAACATCATTTAGAGCTTGTAAAGAGCCTAATAACGTCTGCGTGAGGAACAGCACAGAGAGTGATAGAGAATCAGCAACCAGATATAATAACACTTAAAGCCATGTCTGCGTTCTGAGAACCCCCTGGATCAACAGCATCATGAATGGCTCAGTAAAACATCACCCTGGAGGATTGCCTCCAGCAAACATCTTACTAAACATATACATGCATGACCCGGCCCAGATAAAACGGACGAGTATCTCTCTTTCCCTTGATACACATGCTCAGTAAAACATTCATAACATCTATGGTGTCCTTGGCTTTTTCCCTGCATCCAAATCCCATCCATGTTGTCTATACAAAACACTGACGAAACACTAAAGAAATTAAATGAAATGCCAAACCTATTTTACTTCCATGTTCTGGTAGAGAATTGCTCTAGCAACACAAAGGTTGTAAGCTCAATTCTAAGGAAACACTAGTATTGATAAACTGTATCCACTGAATGTGCTGCAAGTCACTTCGTATTTAGCACCATGCCAAATGTAATCGGGGCTTGACATTAACTTTTTTTCTCACCAGCCACTGTGACTAGTGGTTTTCCAAAGTTGCTAGCCACTGAATTTTGATATTTCTACAATGGGGAAAATCGGCCATATAGATATTTTTTAATATTATCCCACAATTTGACAGCAGGTATATTAGGCTGCTGTCACTTAAACACCGAATGCATGGATGCGTTTTCTTTCTCGACTCTTTATGTTCACTTACAACTAGAGGTGGAGGAAGTACTGAATCTCAGTACTTAAGTAAAAGTACAAATAACCATAGGCATATTAACTTTAGTAAAAGTTGGTACTTCTACAATGACAATCCTACTTTAAAAAGCAAAAAGTACCTGATTGTAAATGTACTTTAAGTATTAAAAGTACTTGAATGACAATTCATTCTCTTAATGTCTATTTTCTAATGATTAATAAAAAATGTCATTCTAACTCATTCAACCTAATACTCCTAATATAAACACAATTCATTTATGCCATAATTGTGAACCTCTTGGCTTGCCACACTAATCCTAACCAAACGTACCCATGTGTATCCTACACACTCAGAAAAAAGGTACAAAAGCTGTCACTGGGGCTGTACCTTTTCAAAAGGTATACTTTTGTCTATTTTAGGTGCTAATATGTACAATTTTAGGTGTTAATATGTACATTTTAGGTGCTAATATGTACACTTTAGGTGTTAATATGTACATTTTAGGTGCTAATAAGTACATTTTAGGTGTTAATTGTCCATTTTAGGTGCTAATAAGTACATTTTAGGTGTTAATATGTACATTTCAGGAGCTAATATGTACATTTCAGGAGCTAATATGTCCATTTTAGGTCCTAATATTACATTTTAAGTGCTAATATGTCTATTTCCTAATATGTACATTTTAGGTGCTAATATGTCCAGTTTAGGTCCTAATATGTGTACATTTTAAGTGTTAATATGTACATTTCAGGAGCTAATATGTACATTTTAGGTGTTAATCTGTACATTTTAGGTGCTAAAATGTACCACTAAGGTACCAATATGCATCCTTTGGGTACAAAAGTGTACCTTTTGAAAAGGTACAGCCCCCGTGACAGCTTTTGAACCTTTTTTTCTGAGTGTATATGCACATAAAAACTCATTTTCGCGTATAAATTGCATGACAAACCGATAAACACACTGCGTGCTACAGAGACGCATTTAGTGTGACCGGGTTGATATACAGTATCTATCACGACCGAAAACAAACGTGCGACGAACTGACGGTCAGGATGGCGTTTTGGCAAGGGAAAAACTGATCAGAAAATGTAAAATTGTACAAATGTAGTGGAGAAGAAAGTATAATAATTGCTGCAAAATGTAACGAAGTATGCACTATTTATTCTATCTAAGTAAAGTACAGGAAATGTACTTAAGTAAAGTAACTAAGTATTTGTACTTCATTACATTCCACCACTGCTTAAAACATAACTGAGTGTGTTTACTTAAATACTTGCCAATATTTTGGGTGTGAGCCAAAACTTTGCGGGAATGAGTAAAATTATTAGCAATACACGCAATCCCACGTCGAAATTCAATCCCTGTAAACGAGTGAGTGAAGGGAGTCGGGTTTGTGTGTCTTCTTGCTGTCAGAGAGATCATAAGAGAAAGAAAAAGCGCAGCTGGTATCATATATCTATTCTGCTAAAAAATTAGCATAGGAAGCGTTTCGTCAGTATCGATATGTAGCAAAAAATCGATTATAATGTAATGTTTTGTATTTCCAAGGGAATCAGGATGATGTGAGCTGAAAAGGAAAGTCATTTTAGAGGTTGAGCAAATTATTACCTTTTAATACAAAATATTTTTTTTTTTGTCTTTGAAACAATTTGCTCTAGCACTCATTCACAATATACGACTCAAACTACGGCTGTCATTTGTTGAACTTTTTTTTTTTTTTTACAAATTAATTCCATGTTAAGCTTATTATTAGCAGAATATTGGCTGAAAGCAAAAAGCAGAATAATTCAAAAGCATTACTGTGGCAGATGAAAGCATTGAATGGACACGATTAATCATTCTAAAAACACTTTTTATCTATTTTAATTTGACATATATATTTGATGAATAGAAAGCTCCAAGAATTATCTTCGCTTACCACGACTTTATGAATGGTAGAGTACATGGTTCTGTATGGCACTATTTCCAAAACACCCATGGCAGTACCATGTAGGAAATTAATAACATTCTATTATTATAATATAAAATATGCAAGAATTATGAGTTTTTGTATGAATATGGGCCCCTGCTGATGCTCAGTATGAGGAATGCCTGGTATGTAATTTCATATACAGCGACATGTGTTGATGCTAATCGCTGTGGAAAATGGTGCAGTGTGATATCTGGGGAGTGGTGTGAAAGCTAGATACTGAGCTTCTACTGTGCTGATATACCAAGAGCTGAAGCACATCTCTCTCTCTCTCACTCTCTCTCTCTCTCTCTCTCTCTCTTCACCAGCGTCAGTCAGATGCTCCCATTGCAATGCCTGCAGCGATGCCATACTCCTCTAGATGCATGCCATCATCTGACGTTTCTGGAAGACTGATTGCCTTTTCTTTTAAAGATGAACTGAACTGAAATTTGAAAAAAGGTGACATAACAGATGTATTTTATTAATTATCATTGGTACAATTTTTAAAATGGCATAATTTGTTAAAAGGGATAAAATGGTACATTGAAAGTGTTGTTTTTGTTACACGGGCGCCTACGTCACTGGCATGGTAAGCCACTCCGCTGCCTACCCGCACCAGCAGAACAGCCGTAGCTTGTAAACAGTCTGAGGCGCGCTGACATGGCTGAAGAAACAGAATTTTTAGCGACACACTATCTAGAGATATGTACTTTCGTCAATGAGTACATGAAACGTCTGACAATGTCTGCATTAAATGTTTTATTTACACAAGTTACAAGTTCAACACATCACGTTAACGTTACACGAATCCTTGATATTCGCCTGAGGGGAAAAGATTCCTGATGTATAGTTAGGGGTGGGCGATATGGAAAAAATATCATATCACGATTTTTTTAGGAAAATCACGATCACGATTTTTTATCACGATTCTTTTTCAAGTTGGTTTTAATATTTTGCAAGTGGCTGTTCATTACAGCCAAACTAATGTCCCTATGTTAAAAACAAAGCCTTAGGTAACAAAAGCAAAAAGAAAGGCATACATTTAGGCCAGTGGCGAAGATAAAAATCTTTGTCATTATTTTCTTTGTTATTAAAAAAATAAGACAAGATAAACATTACACAAATTAATATTCATATTAAATAAATAGTGCTTTATTTTTTCAGATGCAGTAGGTGTATTTAGCAGTAGCATTGAAGTAATTAAATGAACAAATATGAAATTAAAACACTACATAGACTTCACTGAATAAATTGATTCTTATTAAAGATATATTAAAGTTCTCAGTCAGTGAGTGAT